CCCCCCCCCCCCCTTCCCTTGTCATCAGGCAAAAAAATTACTTTCTCATCGATATCTCCCTTTTAATTCCTAACTTTTTATTTTGTCCCTCCTCCCTACATTTTCGCCCCGATTTCTTCCCCCTCCCTACTTTCTCGGGCCATTTCTCCCTCCTCCCTATTCTGTTCCTCTCTCCACTAGATAAGTAAGTACTCTGCATAGGTTAGCTGGTTACGTTTAAGTTTTCGTGTGAGCAACATTAAAGAGTTTACACTGGTTTAAGAAGTTTGGAGTATTTGCTGCCCGTAGTCACAGTTAGTGAGATGCTGTGTACCGAAGTGGTGACGAACCTTGTTCTCGCTGCAAGCGTAGTCTATGGTGGCCTATGTGTGCCATAGGAAAAAGCTGTAGAGCGAGAGTAAATCAATATTCTTTTTGAAATAATTTTTATTTTATTGATTACCGGTAGTTATCTTTATTTTTTATATATTTTTTTGTTTTTCATTTTTATTTCTTTTCTTTTTATATTTTTTCGAATAATTTTTATTTTATTGATTAGTTATCTTTATTTTTTATCTTTATATTTTTATTTCTTTTTTATTTCTTTTTATTATTTTCTCATTCACACAACAAAGAAAATAAAATTTATAAAAAAGGAAATAAATGAGTATGGCCTATGAGTGCCATAGCAAAAAAATATATATTTAAAAAAATAATAATTATAAAAAAAGCTTGCGGCCTGGATGTGCCATAGACCAGAATGCATTTCGATTCCCAGGTGCTAGACCCAATATGGCGGACGCTTGGATTAAAAACAGCGATTGGGAAGATGAAACTGATCTAAAAAACGACCTAGCTAAGTTTGTCAGTCTGAATTTAAAGAGAATAAATTAAATTGTTAGACTTCTTGAGAAAAGATTACCCCATGTACGCTTGGAGCCTTAGAAGTCTAGCACGCCGAATGCAGTATTTTGGAATTCAATTTACTGACTATGATGAAGAGGTAAATGACGTGGAAGCAACAGTAGAAAAAGAGATTTCAGGTCCAGGGAAACTGCTCGGCTACAGAGCCATGCATAAGAAAATACGAGAGATACACGGTCTGAACGTGCCAAGGGATTTAGTTTACATGGTAATGGCTAAAGTGGATCCCCGTGGTCTGGAGGAGAGAGGAGGTGTTGGGAAAGCAAGGCGAACCCGCAGAGATAAAGCGTTCTTGAGCGGGCCGGAGTAAAGTAATTCCTGTCCATCTGCCTGTCAGAATTAGCCCCACTAGATAGATGTAGTTGACTTGACTGGTACCTATCAGTTAATTTAACCCTCATAACTGTAACAGTTACGGTGAAACACCGTTAACTCGAGCTTGGTTCACTCAGGCTCTGATCTGCTAACTCAAACTAATATTACTAATAATTGGTGAAAATTTGACATGATAACGTAGTAAGTGTTTTTTCTGAAAACATTATTAACGGATGTGCTAAAATGATCAAACCACACCTCACCTATCCTCTTGGTTCCTCCTGGCACATAAGGCCTCCACAGAGTGCCTCTTCTTAATGAGGTTAAATAAATATTTATTTAACAGAGTTAACAACAAGGAGCGCTAGCGTGGTCAGCGGTCAGTTGTTTGGCTCAAGCGCGGTCAGCCTTGCTTGCATCGTCTCCATGTGCTCAGTACAGTGTTTTCGCGGCGGCCATTCTCTTCGTTTAGCCTTTCGATCATTCTTTTACCCCCATCCCTCCCCCCCTTAATTCTTCCAGTGTTAAATCAGTGTGACGGGTGCCTGGTTCCATTGGCGTGGGGGCTCATGGCTGGAGGGCGCGGGTTGGCCAGCCATGGGGGCGTAACTCTGTCTAGGGGCTGGCTGTGCCAAAGGTGGAAGCCCCTGGACATCCCGGGCACCCACCTCCACTCAGCGACGCAGTTGTTAAT